TTAAAGCAAGTTGTTTAATGATTAAGTAAACAAATTAAAATTTATGAAATAAATGCCAGTCAGAAATATCAATCCATTTAGCTATCAGTATGTTTGAATTACAAAGTGTAATCAACAAAAATGTGTCGCAGGCACCAAACTGAAGATTTCAGATAGAAATAAATATAAATTTCAATTTTTTCCGTTTGCGTTAATATTATATTATTTATGAATGCTTTGACTAATATTTAACGAACGAAATTTAAAATTTAGTTAAAATACTTTTATTTTGCTGATAAACTATTTCATTTTGATAAAAATACTCTGGCCCACGAAATTCGTTTCGGGTCTTGCATTCGGCCCACATGCAATTTAGATTGACTGCTGTATGAGTAATTATATCTGCGCGAATTTCACATTAATGGCATAATAACTCAGTAACTTTGAGATAATGAATGAAATTGTGTTGGTAATACATTTTGATATGTTTTATTGTTATATGATTATTCTTATATATACAAACAGATATCAGAATAATGTGAAGTTATTAAATTATAAACTTGATAAAAGAGTTGACAATATTTTTCTGACACATTTTATTTTTGTATTTTTATTCTTATATTATATGAAAATTGATATCATATTGATGGAAAAATGCATCTAAAAACGTACAGTGTGATATAAATAAATGTACAGTGTGATATAAATAAATATATAAACAGGTTAGTATAATCTTTTGGTACATTTTGTTGTTTTATATTATTATTCTTTTATATATACAAAAGGATATCAAGTTTGAAAATGCTTTTATTGGATTATAATTAATAAATAAAAGTAGGTTGGTAATATCATTTACACATTTACCCATCCTTGCAATAATATCTGTTTCATTATGTTCATCTGATATATTATGATTTATAATAAAATCTAGTCCAATTTAAGTCACAATATATAAGTAACATATAAGTCACAACAGCGTCGTAACCTCGCTTGTCTGACATCAGAGCAAGCCCACGAAATTCATCGTGGTAAGGAGGCAACATTGCGCCTGTCGTTGGTAAGAGCCTTAGGCACCCTACAGGTGACAGTATGACTTCGCTCAGATCCGCCCTCAATTTTGAAGGACAGCATCGCCGGGGGGAGGGGGACGGGTCCGAGAGTCTCCCACCCCTCTTCCTCTACCACCAATCTTTCGGGATGATTTCGGCTTGCAGTATATTTAGAGTGCCTCATGCCGCAAAAACACTATATATTTACAAACATCCATGCTTTCTGCGGGATTCAAACTCGGGCCCTTGGATACGGCAATCAGAGTCGATAACAAATATCCCGGTTGGGAGGTCGGTATTATGTAATTTTATGTATACTCTATTCAGTACCACAACACAATCTACTATATATTGTATATGAGCCTAGAACTAGTATATACCGCATAATCTAGTACGTACAGTACAATCCTAGATCTATTGTATACTGTCTAACCCAATACCATAATACGTAGTATGTATCTTAAAATCCAGCGTCATAACATGATTTTGATTACCGTAGATTTTGAAATGCGAAGAAATGGTACACTTGATATAAGATGTTGTCTCAAAATATGCGAAGAATATTGTTAATTTGGGCGTAAGATTTAAATTAATTAATTTCATCACATTTAGTTAGTCTTCTCTGTCGGAGATAAATTTTTATTATTAACATATTAAATAGAAGTTTAATTTCAATAACACAGAGAAGAGGTGAAACTCAGGTAAAAGATTTAATAAAAACTACGTCCTATTCTACAATTAAAATATAACAAATATTAGTCACCGTTTACTTGCGAGATTTCTGAAGCTCAAATATTTAAATAAGTTCCTTTATAAAAGCTAATTTTCAATAAATCAATAACCCGGTTCTGGCTAATGTGGATTCCAACAACTAGTACCTGTAAAGTTCACTTACCATGTACTCTGATAGAACAGGTGGACGTCTTAGGCTAAAAAGCAAAAACATAGTTGTTAACTCAGGTGGCTGAGATAGCACTCTTTTGAACTACTAATTCGCTTGCTATTTAAACTAAACGCAATTTGAATACTTGTAATGATTGATAGAAGAAACAGAAGGTATAGGAGAAAAAGAATATAAAAATAACATGTTAGGTTCAAATAATAATAATAATTCTCGTTAAAGCCACTTTCTATTTTTAAACTTGAAATTAATATATTCAATAAGTAATCAAATTCGTGTCGGCAAAAAAATGTTTAGATAGGAAGCCCTTAGCAGTTCCTAAAATATGTTTAATTTATTCTTTAAAGACTGCGGGGACTTATGGGTAAATCTATAGGCTTTTGAGCCGCTGGATTCGAAAATTTGAACTCCAAATAGAAAACGTGCGTTGCAAATTAATGTATCATTTTGCAAAAAGAATTTATGGGTTTTTTAATACAGATGACTACTTTTAATTATATCTAAATACAGAAATAAACTTTGTTTATTATTATACCTTTTCGAAGAGGTTAAAGAAATATCTTTGATCAGTCGCAATAAAATAGAATGAACTTTCCCTTTAGCTGTTAAAAGGTTATGAAAACAGCAATCTGAAGTTTGCTTTCTCTTTTCAAGTAAACTTCCTAATGATTCTTAACTATATTTATATTATTCGCATAAAGAAACCCTGTGGTATTTTTACCTTTCCAGGCCTTTTTTTCAGTTTTTTTAAATAAATAAATTCATTTCAGTTTTAAGCGAAATATAATCCATAGGATTATACGTTAAGGCGGGATTATACGTCCATAGACTTACTTTAAGACTAATACTTACTTAAAAAAAAAAAAAAAAACATGCATTTGATATACTATTAAAAGTGATAGCTTTCGTTATAACCAATAGCTTTCGTTATAACCAATAGAATACGTCAAAGAGCAAATGCTGAAGAAATTAATATTTAGCAACACGAATCAGCATAACATGAGTAAATCTGCAAGATCATAGATTGGAAAGTAAATAGAACCTTCCGTTTCATCTGCAGAAGGGAAAATAACGATAAAGAAACTTGGGGAAAATTTCGAATGAATGAAAAAAAAAAAAAAAAAAAAAAAAAACGAAGCGGCTGGTGCCATCTGGAAAACGAGAAGTGAAAGAAAAGAAATAAAGAAATATATTTTTTGGAAAGCTAGCTGACGGCAGATTAGAACTGACATCATTAATCAGAATAGAAAGAATTTTATGGATGCGAAATGCTTTCAAGGAAATATAATTCGCCATCGGAAGCTATTCTTTTAAATAATTTTGGATGCAGAGAAAAGGTAAATATGATTTTCTGACCAGCAGTGATAGGCAATGGAATGGAAAATAAATAAATATAAGGAGGAAAGGAAAATAAAATAAATATAAGGAGGATTTTTCGTGCTGCTTAACATATTTTGTTCAATAACAACAGTGCCGAAATTTCACTTTAAGGAACATGGTTTTGGTTTGGTTTATTAGATTACGGCAAAGCACTCGAGGGCTATCTACCTTAAAGGAGGGATGCCTTCGTGGGAGGACTTTTTAAGGGAAACTGGCTCGTATATACGTTACACATGGGGAAAACCACGAAAACGCCCCATGCAGCCAGTCCGTTCGCGGGATTCGAGCCTCGGACCGAACTACCAGTGTTCAGCGACGTTACCGCTTGGCCACTGGTGGGCCTTTAAGGAACATGAGGCTTGGAGGAAAAAATAAAACAAGAAAGAAACTCGCAGATTCTTCATTCCCCATTATTTTTGGCTAAAAAATCAAATTTTCTTAGAGGCACTCGGAAAATAAAGATACTTCGATTAAAGCTGATGATTCCAATTCCCACCCCTCATTATCGTCCGGGCTTCAAGAATTCATTTCTTTGGTGCTTGTCTTTGACGCTTCGGTCTCGATGGCACCAAAGAATTTAACTAGAACCTGTCATTTAACTAGAACCTTCTTGAATTTTTGGTCTGTTATTCAAGCATAAGCACACATAATATGTCATCATCGTCACGCCTTGTAAGATCTATCTCTACTTTTCAACATACACTAATTTAGATCCTACAATGAACCTGGCGAATTCTCTCACAGGCGTGAAATAAATACCAGCACAGAAGAAGGGTGCAAAATAACCCTTTATTAACTCAAACTAAAATAACAGACAGCACGGACCTCGTGCGTTACAAAAACACCGTTCACTTGCGGCGATAACTAAAGGTAGACTAGAATACAAATCAAAATGTACAGAATAAACGAGTGCAAGAACGCACTTCAAAATTACTCCTAAGAGATGGAGTCGCTGAAATCTAACCGGCGTGATACTAAACTGATAAGGCCAAAAGGCTTACTCGAGTGACCGCGAAATAACAAAGAAACGTGCGCTAGGCTAGTGAAACACGCTCTGAATAAATTGAGATAATCACACGTTTAAATAGCACTTTACTTAATTTTAAAATTTACATCCTGGCGAGAGAATGTGAAGGGAAGTTTGAGAAGTTGCGAACAGGAAAACTTAAAATAAATTTGTTATGCAAATTAAGAAAAACCCTACATCCTCACCTAAAGAGGAAAGTTTTACATAACATTTCGAAACTATAATATTGCAAATTTATTCTCATTATATCAATTAATTTTCTTAATTATAAGTTCCTTTAACGTGATTTTCGTATTCTGCCAAACACAGATCGATATTAATATAACAAATAACAGTATTCTAGTAAGCGCAAATACAACCAGCTGAGCGAAAAGACAATCATTTAAATTGATTTATAATTAATATAAAATATTCTCAAGCATACGCATATCCAAAATAGAAGAAACGTTAATCTCATTTCGATACTATTACAGCTTATTACTCATTGGATGCATTATGCCATTTGGTTGATTAGAGCTTATTACAAATCTCATTTGGATGTTTAGTGTCTAAAACTGTAAATTGTCCAAATAAAGATTCCATTTTGTATTACGTTTTAACTCAGAGAACTATGATAGAGAACAGTGATACAGTGATAGATAAGAAATTATCTAACAGAACCTACCTCCTAGGAGGTTGGCAGCTCGAAGACTCATTCACATTTTCAAAGGAACTTTCAGAAGAAACTGTGGTGCTGCCAGTAACAGGATCAGGCATTAAGTGCGTCAGTCCGATTGGTGTAAACCTACAAGATATTAGTTGTTGACAGGACTAAAAGGCTGAATTAAATATTGAAAGTCATCTACAATTAAAATAGCGTCTAACTGATAATTTGCGTAATGAATATCGCACCCATTTAGCCCGTGGTAAGATTCGTGCTTTCAATCTCGGTGAGGAAAATATTTAACTTTAATGTTTCTGTCCTCCGAAAGTTTTAATAGATTTCACAGAGCGAAGCGAAAATAAAAATATTCTAAATGATAAATCATCATCATTTGGATAGGGTCGATTGGATCTCGTGCCTCTCGTCATTTGCCATTTATGCGGAGTAGAATGTAAGAAATTATCCTGTTTCCTGTGTGAGGTCTCGAGCTGTATTAGTACATCCAGCTAGCAACTGGAAGATCCATGGTTCGAATCACTATGAAGGCGTAATTTGCTTCGAAACTCATAATAGTGTTTACAACGGCCTATAGGTATAGGTAAAAGCTAAGCCAGCACTTCTATAGTACCATAGGTGATTCAGGTTGTAATGTATTTTGCAGTATTTAACAAAATAACAGAAGATCTTCTTAGTAAAACATAAATTTTATTTTTAGTTTATGGAGATAGATAATGTGAATACAGTCTTTTAGTTGTAAATTTTTCATACATCTACTAGCTGGTAAAACTTCAGAATTCTAATTTTAAACAATTTCTTACGTTGTTGAGCAACGTTTACATAATACAAATATGACGTTGCCACTTCAATAATATATATAGTTATTTGTTAAATAACAAGATATTACAACCTTCAGATAAACTTTAATTTACATTTTCATAAATTAAAGTTACATTGTTTTTTTTTTTTTTTTTTTTTTTTTTTTTTTTCAAAACAACAATATCAACACAATACAGAATTAAAATACAACAAATAACATAATAACATACACCGAGGAAGAGAGGAAAGAACAAAATATTTTGTTATCTATATAGAGAAACAAACTAGTTAATCAGGCCAGGGAGTATAACTTAATGCGTCTATATTTTTATGGTGTTTACCACTTCGATGAAAGACAGTGTATTTGTAGGGATGTAATTCTAGTGTCGATCTCATAAGTCGTACATTTAGACTCGCATTATTTTTGAGCCAAACCAGAGGATTATGATCGGTCATGATGAGGAATTTAGTATGCCTGTCTAAATAATATTGCAGTTTCTTTACAGCAAAAATTATGGCGGCGCATTCCTTTTCTGTCCTAGAGTAAGTTTTTCCAGTGTCCGTAAACTTCTTACTGAGGTATAATACTGGATGTTCATTGCCTCTTTCATCTTTCTGAGCTAAAATGACATCCATACCAGAGTCTGAAACATCAGTTTGCAAAATAAACTCCTTATTGAAATCAGGTGAATGTAACAGAGGCTTTTGCGGCAGTTTTGCGGTAGTTTCAACATTTCGCTATTGTTCTGTTTAAAAAACTCCTCCTTGACTTGTATCTCAACTCCAGAACTTGAGAATTCATCTAGGATTTTTAACTGAGAATTGTTTAATTTTGTCAGTTCTTTCCTGTCAGATAGTTTTTGCTTCTTGCCAGATGAACTTTTGTTCTTATCTGTTACTTGCATTCTCATTGAATGTGGCAACTTTGAGTATCCTTTATCATGTTTGTGCTTCTTTGCTAATTTTTCTGACGCGTGCTTAGATTCTGATATTTTTAATTTCTTAACTTTAGAAGCACCTTCATGAGTTCTTTTATCAGAAGTTCTTTGATCTTACACTATGCATAGAAGATGAATCACCAAAGGAATAAGGTGAGTCAACTTCCATATCAATAACTTCAGTTTTCTCACCAGGAGTTGGACTCTTAGACTGTAGGTCAGATTTCTATGAAGCATTGACAAAAGCTTGACTATTAGGAGGGTGAGTATTGACCAAATTACGCTGAGTTTTAGCACTATTATTTGTTTGGTTCTGTATCAAAGATGTATAGTTCTGCATTTGAACCCTATATTTTTGAGGAATAACAATTAATTCCCTTTCATTTCCATTTTTATCTAATTTCTTTTCCCCAACAACCCGTTCTCCTTTACTTTAAAATCATTTTCCTTGCTGGAATTTTCATTTTTAGCTTCGCTAAGCAATGAGGCTAGATCTCTGCTTTGATGCTGAGATTTAATTATTTCCTTAGAATTAATAATGCTAATAACTTTCTTAATTTCCTTGTCTTCCTCATCAGCTTGCTGTAAAATATCTTCGTCAGTCTCAGTTAAGCGTCACTCCATTTCGGTTTCTCTACTTCGATCTTCTTCGTGAGATCTTTTTCCTTGAGATCATGTCAAAACCGCATTTATTTTTTCTAAATTTAAGAATGATTTATCTTTGAACAATTGGGCAGTTTTGTTACCCAATACATGTCTGCCAGGATCATTTGTAACGACAGCTGCCTTTGACTTTATATGACCAACTTCACAATTAATTTCAAATTCAGCTAACGGTAGACATACTAAATGGTCATTTAAAAGATATTGTACCCAGACATGTTCTCCAGCCATTTTTGCGTTATCTATGTATTTTCGAGAAATAACATCAACAGTGGCTAAAGTGTCTCGAAGAATAAGCATTTCATACCCATTAACTAAACCGTTAATTGTATATGTCTCTAACAAATCATCATTCGAAGATACGCAATTTACCTTTTCATTTGGTTTTAAGCGAGGGCACTGAGGCTTAAAATGTTCGTATGACCCACACTCCAAACAACGTGGTCGATATCTTTTGTCCTATACATTTTCTTGGTTTTTGTTTTGAAACTGATTTTGTCGATGATTTTTCTGGTATTTTGAATCATCCCATCTATCAGAATGCTTAAAATGAGGCGGATGCTCTATTTTTTTAACAAAATTTTCGTAACGAGTTTTAAATGATCCTTTATTGATTCTCTCAGTTTGAATCGCAGAAAATTTCGGTTTTCTTGTTTTTCTCACATCTTCAAAATCTTCAATTTTCTTCACCATCTCAGTAGGTGAAATGATGGTAGTCTATTCATCCATAAAATGGTGAAATCAGAAGTACATTTTTTAATTTGATCAACCAGCATAAGATCTTTTAGCTGTTCAAAAGTTTTAATTTTTAATCCGTTAAGCCATCCTTCTAAATAATTGTTTAATTCATAGCAAAAATCATACCAAATACTTTTAGTAGATTTTTGGTGTTTATTAAATAATTGTCGAAATTTTTCTGCACTCAATTTAAATCGTTGTAACAGTAAAGTTTTTACATATTAATACTTTTTCGCGTCCTCTTCTGGTTCTCTAGCAATAAGCTGAACAATATCAGGAGGCAGCAATGAAATAAGTTGAGTCACTTGATTTTCAACAGCTATATTCATAATTTTAGCCTGACGCTCCAATAACATCAGAAATAAACTTATTTCATCTTCTTTAAAGAGGCATGACATCGTGAATTCTGATTTTTTAAGGCTGCTCATGTAACCGCGTAGTTTCTACCGGCTGTGCTCTTGCAGCCATAGCTTTCAACTGAGGTTTCTATAACTCAAACGCTCTTTCGCGTTCCTTTTCTCTTTCTTCTCTTTCGCGTTCCTTTTCTCTTTCTTCTCTTTCGAGTTCCTTTTCTCTTTCTTCTCTTTCGCATTCCTTTTCTCTTTCTTCTCTTTCGCATTCCTTTTCTCTTTCTTCTCTTTCGCGTTCCTTCTCTCTTTCTTCTCTTTCGCATTCCTTTTCCTTTCTTTCTTCTCTTTCGCGTTCCTTCTCTCTTTCTTCTCTTTCGCGATCCTTTTCTCTTTCTTCTCTTTCGCATTCCTTTTCTCTTTCTACTCTTTCGCGTTCTTCTTTTCTTTCTCTTTCTTCTCTAATTGCAGCCAGTAGTTCTCGAGTAAATTCCTCATCATAACCGGGACTTTCAGTAATCAATTTATGCAACTGAAAAATCTTAAATTCAGGTTTCACTGTTAAACCTAACTCTTCTGCTAGTACTTTTAAATCCTGTTTTTTACTCCTAGCTAAGAATGACATGTTGAATAAGTTACTTTTAATAGGCTTTCTCTTAAAATTAAATCTTATAAATCGTACTTGTATTAAATATATATATAAAATTTTGGCAAAACTTAAATTGTCAAGAAGAAAACTAACACTAACCAATTGGAGAGAGTTATTTAAACAACTCTGCCAGGTTGGCACAAAATAAAATAATACTACGCCGGGTTGTCGTTTTAACTCACTATTCACAAGCCTCGTTGGCGATAACTATATAAACACCTTTGCCAGTTAGGCAGTACAGTGGAATTTTACCTACGTCAGTTTGACGATTTTACTATCTATCTCCACGACTGGTTGACGATAACAAAAACAATTTTTGAAAGTTTGGCAATACATTTTTTACAATATACAATCTTTAATGCGTCGGGATGACGTTACTATATACCGCACGCCTGGATGGCGAGAATTAAGAAAAGACTTTTGCCAATTCTGCAGTATAATAAATCACACTACGTCAGTCTTGCATTACTACTTATTTTTCACGCGCCTGCTTGGCAACAAATTCAAAAATTCAGCTAGCAGTTCTCTCTCTTTATATATATCTATATATATAAATGCTGGGATGGCTTACACATATCAATTATCAACATAAAAATTCAATACAAATAACAGTAAGGCTAAATAATAATTTAAATACTTTTTTACCACAAATATCAATTATAATTTACGCCTAAAATTTTTAGTATCACAAAAACGTACACTATAATATAATTCTGAAATGAAATACTTAAATTCAATAAACATTTTTTTATGAAACCAAAAGTGAATCTTATCTTCGGAGATCAGCAATATCCTGTTCTGACAATTCTTTGCTTGGACGCAAGTTATAGAAACATAGAAGATAACCGTTGAATGATCCGCTTCAAAATCTGGCTTTAACGTTAGACTTCTGACATCCGTTTTACCTTGAAATAAACAAACTCGGCAATTGGTACTAGAAAATCTGTTCTCAAAATTTCAGCAACTCAAAATTCCAGTATCTCAGTGGAATTTTCAAATTTATAAAACTGTAATGTATTTTGCAGTATTTAGCAAAATAACAGAAGATTTTCTTACTAAAACATAAATTTTATTTTTAGTTTACGGAGATAGATAATTTGAATACAGTCTTTTAGTTATAAATTTTTAATACATCTATTAGCTGGTAAAACTTCAGAATTCTAATTTTAAACAATTTCTTACGTTGCTGAGTAACGGTTACATAATACAAATATGGCGTTGCTACTTCAATAAATAAATATTTGTTAAAGAACAATATATTGCAAGGTGTTCCTGTACGTAGCTAAACTTTCGCTTCAATTTGAAATTTGAGAGAACTACCAGAGAAGCGAGCCGATGGTCTCCCACTTCTTTTCGCTCTACGACCAACCTCTTGGAGAGGACAGTATATTTAATGTGCTCCTTGCCGCACAGATATTGCATGCTTACAAACATCCATGCATTCTCGAGGATTGCGCTCTTCGGAAATTAAATTACTCCCATACTTTCCCCATCTTAATTTTTCGAAGATAAAATTAGTTAAAAAGGAGAGCTAACTACTCCAGGAAATAACGGTATATATTTTAGGCTATGAAAATACAGGAAAAAATGGTCTCCGAGTGAACGGTTATCATATTGCACAACTGTAAATCCGGCTTATTTAAATAAAGTGTATAAAAATTATTTCTTACAAACTTACCTAAGAAAGTTTGTAGGCATTTTTTTTTCCATACACAGGAATGTAATTTCCCCTAAAAGGAAATCTGTGTGTTACAAAAATAATTCAATATTGAGCAGTTTCATAATAATATGCAAAGTATCATTTTTTGCAAAGATAAAATAAGCTTTCTTATATTAAATTTTATATCATGGGAATGAATAACTATTTTCTACCCTCTAAGACTGGTTCTTTTTTAGAAGTTACAGCCAAATTCATGAACATTTTAATACTCATAAACAATATTCTACTCATAATTTAAACCCTTTGTGGCTCAGTGTTCCAATACATGAAACAGCCAAATTGAATCGCTTCTGAAACCTTTAAATTCAACTGTAAATAGATAAAAATGGCTTTATAATATACTTTGAATTTTTCTTTTTAAACAGTAGATAGCAGCATATCACAAGGAGACACAGAATTTTCATTTATTATGTATTATTAAAATCCACTTTTTTTCAAGTAATTTTCTCTATTTTTTTTAATGATATAAAAATTTTATTTGGAAAAATATTAGGCATAATTTTGCTGGCTGTACTCCAAATTTATTCTTCTATATTTTTTTTAATCTTCCATACAAAAACCATACGCAGAATAATTGAACTGAATTTTATAGTTTGAGTACGTAGAACATGATATTTAATAAATAAAGGTAACACACAAAACGTTAAAAAAACGCCCCTTTGGATCTAATTCAAAATCTGAAACCTTTTAGATTTTTTTAAAAATAATTTTACTCGGTTACAAAGTAATAAGTAAATATTTAAAACAGTGACATATACGATATGGCCAGGAAAAAAATTAGACTCTGAAGAGACTCGAGCTCGTGACTATAAACTATAAGGACAAATTAGCCAAGTGCAAGGTCTATCAGTGCTACCGTAAATTCATAGAAATAAATTCAAAAATAAATAAATAAATATGCAGGTACAATAAGATACGATGCAACATACACTAACAAGGCTTACGTATTATATACACTGAGCACAGCACGTGGTCTGTTTATATTTGCAAGATCATTAAAGTCATCATTACAGATTTTAATTGCTGGGTTATTAATAGTAAGCTGGTGTTGATGAATTGTTTTAGCAATATTAATAGTGAGGCTTGAGTTGGACAATTTTAAGCCCTCGCAGATTCGATTATTGCGAACAAACCACGGGGAGTTAGCAATATTGAGAACTTATATAACAAAATCTGCGTAGAATTGTGTCACAATTTAAGAAAACCCACAACTGGAAACTTTTTTGGAGTCTTTGAAATGATAAGTAAATTTATATACCTTAAAGAATGTCGTGTATTTTGAGAAAAGAGTCAAAAATTTAAGGATAAAAAAACAAAAGTTTTAAGCTATTTTTTCGTATTTGAGGTTCTAAAGAAAAGGCATATGCTAAGAAGAAAAAAAAAAAATCTTTTTGTTGTTGATAATGTCACTTGTCTGACCTAATCAGAATAAGCCCACGAATTTTACTGTCGCAAGGAACGCAAGATTGAGTGTGTGCCGTTGGCCTGAACCTTGAGTACTATATGGGTGCGACTTTGCTTTGTTCCCCTCCAGTTTTGAAGGAGAACACCCCCCTCCCCCGAGATACGAGTCTAATTGTCTCCATCTCTCTTTTCCTACCACCAAACCATTCGAGAGCGCTTTATATTTTGTGTGCCTCGTGCCCCACAGACAATATACATTTACAAACATGCATGCCTTCTCTGGGATTCGAACCGGACCCTTATCGGAATTATGCTTACTCTTAGAGGCCAGTAAAAAAAAAAAAAAAAAAAAAAAAAAAAAAAAAAACATGTTTTCCATGTTTAAAGCTTTGCGAAAGGCACCAACTGATGTAAATTTTTGTCAGTGCGAAAAAGCAACTGCGAAAAATTTTCCAAATTCCCCGTACCAATTCTCTAACAGCAGAAAGCTAGAAATGTTTCGAAAAAAAAGGGGGGGGTCTAAAATTTATTTTATAGAGAAAACTGATGCGTATTCTGAGACAATTAGATGCGAAAAAACTCTAAGCATGAAAAAATTAAAAAGAACTGTTTTGTGAGTTGTGCTTTATAGCATTATACCTTATTTATTTTTCAGATTCAAAATATTTGGCCGCAAAAGTCGCCAAAATGGAACTTTATAGTATGACACAGCGAAAAGAAAAATGTTTTATTTTAATGTTATTTTTTGAATATAATTCCAATATATTACTATTATTATAATGAAATTTATCAATGTTACATTGTTTTAAAAACATCGTCGAAAAATTCCCAGATCTTTGAATTAAAAATTTTCTATAGAAACTGATCTTAAATCGCGAAAATGTTGATAAGTCGCATGATTTAAAAACGAATAATAAAAGAATTCACATACCCAAAAGCGAAAAAGAGAGTTCGCTGTTTGTTGAGAAAGAGAGAAAAAAAGAGAGTTTGTTGTTTAAGAGCTATTCATTAGAAAAAATGAAATAATTTCGAAATGCTTGTGTTTCACTTCTTGTTTAGAAATTCGAGTATCCCACCATTTATATTAGAAATAGGAACAGATTATAACCACCCATTCAAAAGATAACCATATTTGTCAGTGAATCGCCAAAAATATTCCTCCAAAATGCTAATTCGCACTCAAAATGGCAGTCGTAAAAACAGACAGAAATGTCAGATGATTAAAATTAAAGACCTTCTGCCCATTTTGGCGAAATTAAGGATCTCTGAATATGCCTATTTATCACATATATGTTAATTACGTCATTTAAGAATAATGATAAACTCGCATATTTATATCATAAAACACTTATTGTCATCTTTCCTTTTTTTTTTTTCGGGGGGGGGGAGTATGAGATTGCAAGAAGTGTTTTGAAATTCATATTTTGGAAGCTTTTTTCCTTTTGTGCCATGCAAGTGGCTCATTTTCCTGTCCTAAATATAGTCATTTTTTTTTCTTTTCATGTCCTTTCCATGTAATTTTTCTTCAGACTGAAGCTTGATATTTCGTTTAGTGAGCAAAGAGACTTATCGGGTTCAAAACAATGCATCTTAATCTCTCAATAAAGTCAATAGATGGCAGCAGCATACGACAATTATAGATAAGTTGAAGAAGTGGTAGACTGATCATACCCCATTGAGTGGAAGGAGTGTAACACCTTCAGCGGAGGAAATATTATTACCTGATATAAATTACATATCGACATTTTTGATTTTCTTCAGACTGAAGATTATTTTCCACGTATGAAGTTTTCTACGCTTGTCATTAATGGACTTGAAAATCGCCGTTATCAAAGTGTTGGGATACCTCGCATGCAGAGAATTCGTTCGTTGTGCTTATTTACTGCCATGAATCACTGTTTTGTTGAACAGCTACTATTCATCATGACGCAATAGCATACATTACTTGTACTGAGAAATATTTAATCACTGAATAACATTTCAAGTGGCGATGAAATATTGGGGTATATGAGAAAATACTGATGTGAAAATTGGAAGGGTTGTATAAAAATGCTTGTAGGATTTTATGCAAATCAATCAATTAGTATGGTCTGGAATTTTACTATAAGTTCTTTTTTGGCAATCTGGCTCGCAGTTTTTTCCTATTGGCAGCTCTGCCAAAGTTTACTCCGACTTTAGCCAACTGTAAACGAGCACCGTAAATTACTTTCTTTTGTGTAGTCTTTGACTACGTAACTTAAGTCTGAATTTCAATTTATGTTATTTTAAATACATACTAATATTTCGTTTAGCACAAGTGGTATCTTATGTTAAATATTAAACAGCTAATAAAAAAGTTACTTTAATCTTCGTAAGACTTTATCACTGTGCTTCAAACTAGAGCGATAACTCTCTTGTCAATCTAATATGGTCTAAAAAACATTGATTAAAGCTTCCGTAAAACTATAACCTTACATACTGACGAGAAAATAAATAAAAAAAATATGTCAGTTTGATTTTATAAGAGGAAAGATTTACTTAAAAATGTATAATCATAAATTACAACATTATAAAAGCCACAAAGAATCTTCATCGTGTTACTGTACCCAGTACAAACACATACGTACATTCAAAACAGAAAAAAATCAGTGATACTACCAGCATGGAATCACATTTTAAATTAAATCTGCTTTTGTTTCGATTTCAGTAACTTTCAACTTCAGTACATTCCAAATATTTTCAAATGGACTAAGATCTAGTGATAAGGCAGACTACTGTTTTACAGTTTTGAACTAATTAAGAAAAAATTATCTATTTACAGTTTATAATCAATGGCATGATGCATTATCATCCTAAAATTGAAAAAATTATTTTGAAACATATTTATACCCGAAGGAAGCACTTTTCTTTCATGCACGTTAATATACTGGAGCACATATATTTTCCCTCTACAGTAACTGTAGTAAGATGTTTTTTGGTTGCTGTAGTATAATACGATTTAAATCTTTCTTTATATGACGTCATATAATGCAACTCTTTTCGGTGTCGAAGAAAGCGTTTCGTCATTCCAAATAACACAACCCATCCGCCATGATCAAGTACCCATCCTCCATGATCCGCAACCCATTCGCCATGATCAGGTACCAATTTCGGTCGCTGCTTTTCACTAACGAAAGGTTTCTTCACTGGCTCGAATTACTTGCAATTCGTTCTGAATTTATAAATAAGCGGATTTTTAACTTCAGGAGGAAAGCATTATAAATTATTGTAACTGAATTATTTGTAAAAGATTTCGAACTTATAAATAAGCCGACTTCCAACATCGACAGCAAAACATTATAAAATTTTGTAATGTAATTATTTGTAAATCATTTTGGATTCATAAATAAGTCGACTTTTAACTTCAGGAAGAAAACATTATTAATTTTGGAACCGAATTATTTTCATGTCCTTTTGAATTTCTAAGAAAGCCGACTTCCAAATTTCGGAATCAAAACATTTTAAATTCTTGTAATCGAGTAGTTTGCAAGTCATTTTATAATCACAAATAAGCTGACTCCAAACTAAAGCAAAATGTTATTAATTTTCGTAATTGAATTGCTTGTAAGTGACTTTGAATCCATAAATAGGCAAACTTTCAAACCTCAGGAGCAAAACAATATTATTTTTGTAATCGAATTATATGTGAATTCATTTTCAATTCTTAAATAAACGTCTCTCGACTCCTTAAGTTAAGAGGCGAAACATTTGCCAAAATGTCTCGCTTTTAACGAAAATATACCGTAATATTTTACTGCAGAGAAATTTAAATATATGTTGATTTGCGAACATAAAATATACAAACAATTTTACATTAATACGTAACAGAACGAATGATATCGATATATAACCGAAATAAAATTTACTTTAGAAAATCGAATGAAAATCAAACATTCATTTAAATGACCAATATGCAAAAATTTTCTTCAGAAGTTCAGTAAGAATAATAACTAAATAAAATGTGATACTTTTTTATGAAAACACAAGCATGAATTATAAAATAAGTTCTAGCAATTATGAAACGTAAACATTTCGATTATAACTGGAAATGCATTTTGAGAGACAAAACATCATCTACCTTTCTTTCTCTTCATCTCCCCTCTCTCGAAAATCAAAATTTGCTTTTGAAGAAGACAAACTATTGTATTGGCTTCCAAAATGCATTAAGAGTTTTTATTTGAAAAAAAACCAAGAAGTTTGATTTGATAATATATAAAAGTATTTAGAAATTAAATTTGACGTCTAATTACTATATCTGAATAAATGATTTTCAGTAACTGAAATTTGTCTCAACAAGCGCTTCTGTAATGCGTTACAGAAACATGCTTCATTCCTGCGACGTAAAGGACATTGGGAGTGGAAAAAAAAAACCTCTTTAAGAAAGATGCAAAATTGTATGAAACTTATACATATAAAATGTGAAACACTTACTATGAGAAGAAGTGAATTTTCGTAACAAAAAACTGCAGAAATCTGTCTTTAAGGAAACGACCAGTCTCTCAAAATTTAGCTTGTCGATTACAAAAACCCCACTGACTGATTGCACCTGTAGAAGGCCTCAAATAAAATTTATTATCAGGATTCGACGCGGTTTCACTTATCAAAAGTAACGCCCATTGGGTTGGCAGTTTAGGAAACAGCGAATCAGATTGTCTACCATAAAACATGAAGAGATTTTTTATTTATGCTAATTTATCTTTAATTAGTTAAAATTTTTTTATTTGATTTATATTGGAAAAGGAATATTCCAAAAAATATTTTAAAGACATTACACCCAACATTTTAAATTATATTTTAGTAATAAAGAAGAGTTTTTTTAAAAAGAACCACAGTGATAACGTAACTCTTACTTCATTCCATGACCTTTCCCATTCAGTGGTGTGGGCAGGGGGGGGGCTATGGATGTCGCCAGGCGCAACATCCATAGGATCCGAAATTGATATTACAAAATTTTAGAATGAAATGTTTTTCATTCTTGGCATACAGAAGGGAAGCGCAAAATCTTCACTTGTCCTCGGGCGCTGAAAACCCTAGCTACGCCTCTGTTGCCATTCATAAACAGGAAGCCATTACTGCTTGAAATGGAATTAATAATTTTTTAAATAGCTATTTATCTCACCCTAAGCTGGACAACAACTCTAAATTTTTAGTTAAGTTCCAGCTGATTTTGATCTGTAGACCTTTTTTTATATTCTATATCTGTTTATATAACTTTTCAAATAATATTTCAGATTTGTGCTCAACAAAATTTCTTTACGTCAGGTATGCGGTGAATGAAAGCTTTTCTAGATTTCCGAGTTTATCTTCTCATGGCTTTGAAATAGGAAAGTGAAAAATATTCGATAGAGTCAAAATGACCTTTCTATCACACTTTTCAAAAGATCTGAATGACCTTATCTTATGGCAAGCTTTTTTTAAACAAAATATGTATGTTTTTGACATATTTTTTAGATATGACAGACTCTAAAAAATTACAGAAAACGAAAACAGATCTTTAGTTTTTGGAGTAAAATGACATAAAAATATATGTTTCTTAGCTATGAAAAAATATACAAAAATCATAAGTTTTTGGAATAAAGTATAAAACTAAATAAATGACATAAAATGCATATTATATCTCGCTAGCTTTAAATCTTTCAGTTTTAAAAGTTTTAGGATAATATCCAATACTTCCATTTTCCAAATGTAAGAATTCCTTTAGAATTTTTAATTATTTCATCTTCAATTTTTATTAGCATACATTTTTTATTTTCTACGAATTCTACAAATATTTTACCGTTGTGTCATCTTTCACGTTATCTAATACGTTTTTATTTTTAAAGGTATATTATGTCTGTTTCCTTTAGGATAGTTAGATATATCAAAATGATCCATCATACCTTTCATATCTTCATAAAAATCATATTTTAATATCATATATGAAACTATCGGTATCCATATATAAAGCAATGAAAGGTCTTACTAGATTCTCACTAAATATTGTTGTACCATTAAAATTTGTTTAGCAATTAATTTTTAAAATTGATCACAACACGCATATAATTTCATATCCATCCTTTTACTAACAATTTCAATAGGTTTTCTATATGGTGCATTATTAATTAATTTATAAAATTGTTTCTCAAAATCTTTAACAGATTTTTTTTCCCTCATTTCAATATTTAAATCTCTCTATATATTTTTAACCAATTTGATTGTTTGAAATCTAAAATTCTACGTATTTTTCTAAATTTTAATCCTATATGTAAATTATTATTTTAAACTTTTATAATGTCTTATATAATCCTTTTTATTAATCAAAGTTATGAATAATTCTTCTTGTTTAGAACCATCGGGATTTTTCTTTCTTGGTGCTAAAAGTAAATCTGAATGATAATCGTGTAATTCTTTTGAATATTCTAAATCAACATTTCGTATATTTCCTTTGGGATTTTTATTCATGTTTTATCATATATAAGGATCTATCTGTCAAAATTAAAGTGAATATTGACTCATAACCCACCATTTAAATTATTAGCATCTAATATATTAAATAGAAATAATAATAATATAGATAATGATTTAAATACATTAAATAGATTCTTTATCAAATCGTTATACTTATTATTTGCTTTTGCTATCTATTAGAATATTTGATATTCTAATTCTTATTCCCTTTTTTATCAGTGAAACCACATTACATCACTTATCAAACCTAATTTAATATTAGTTTTTCTAATATTGCATCCCACAGGATTTTAAAATCAAATCCCCAGGATTTAATTTAATATTCCCTTTTTATCATTGAAACCACATTACATTTCTAATATTGTTTTTCTAATATCCCAAGATAAACCAGGATTTGTAAAATACCGAACCAGATCTAAGTTATATGTTTTAAACAAACATCTCTAAAATTTTCAGAAGTAGCTGCTAATAGTAAAACATTTCTTACAACATATAATTCTGAATATTCTCCTAAATTTTTAATTTAAAAATATTTTCATACATTTTGTGCATGATTATAATATGATTATAATGCGCATGATTATCATCATTTATAGCAAATGATTATAATGTGCATGATTATCATCATTTATATCAAATTCATTCAATCTATTGTAAAATTCTTTTTGAGGTGGTAGCTTAGTATCTTTATATTTTCCTTCTTTTAGTATTTCTTTTAGTCAGGAAAATGTTTTGTAGTTTCTTTAAACACAGATTTCAAATATTCCACATAGGCTCCTTTAAAATTATCAGATAATTCTCTTAAAAGGTTTTCTTAATCATATGTACTTCTAGACAAATTTAAAGGAATCTATAAATCTTAATTTTAAATATTTTCCACATTTTCTAGTAAATCATATACATTTTTCTTCAGTTCTATAAATGATCCTTAATTTAGAATTAAGCATCATAAAAAAATGTGCGTCATAGCCAGATAAATTACGTATAATGGCAGGTATAAAATTTGGAATTTTACAGTTCAAATCACATCCTTCTTGCCCTGATCCTATGTATTTTCCAATTAAGTAACAGTGATCAATTACATTTTTATCTTCTGGCAAAAATTCTTTTTCACACATGTGATATTTATTAGTTGTTTTGTAACGATTTTCCTCAAAATCTACCATAGATTTAATATCTTTATATTTTTCTTCTTTTCCCATAATAAATTTCTCAATTTCAGTAGTATTTTTCATAAAGACTTCGCAGACGTTTTCACTGCATCAAGTCCTTCATAACAAACTGAAGATTTCAAATACTCATTATTATATTCAATGTGATAACTGAATTAACCTAGATTCTATTTTTGATATTGAAGTGTATAAGAATTTTTATTCAATTTTGACTCTAACATTTTCATTGCTAAGATTATATTTATCTTTTAAAATAGATTTATGCAATCCATTATCTATTTCTTCTTCTGTCAAATTATAAATTCTTATTAATTAATAATATAGGATTTAATTGAAAGATGCTTATTTTTTAATAAATATTCAGAATCTGCATAAATTACAAATGGAACTCTCAGTGATCCATTATAAATATTAAATTTTATAAATCCGCATTTTTTAGGCATTTTAATTTTACCAAGGAGTTTGACAATCTTGTTCATGTTCTTTTCCTCCAAAAAAACTATAAAACTGCTTTAAAATGAATTCTGGAGAGAATTTTTCGTGGCGTCTGTACGAATTTACGTACGTACGTATCTCGCATAACTCAAAAACGAGTAGCCTCAAACCGTTGAAATTTTGTACATAGGAGTGCTATAACATGTAAATGGGCACCTCGTATTTTGGTTGCAATCGGCCGCACCAAACGTATATAAATATATATATATATATCCACTATGTTACCCGGCTCAGTGATCTCAGTTTCTTTACTCTTATATGTTTGTAAATTGTATATTTTTTGCTTTAGAAAGGATTGAATTATGTTGTTCTTATCTTCCGGTTAAGGTTTTTACGTCTTTAGTAAATCTGTATGCAATATGCTTAGAATTATCAACAATTTTAAAGTGGTTTAAGTGCCGCTAAGCCTAATAATTTTTTTGATGGCGGCCCGTTGCTTCTTTACATTTGAAACAGCACAATAGTAGATTTGTTGCCAATATAGAGAGACTAAGCTTCGAAACAATACAAAGATAATGCCTTCATTTATTATTGCGAATTAAATCATGCTTAACCCTTTCTGGTAATTTTTTCGAGGAAATAACGTGTTTCAGATTTACTTCGTAATTTTATAATATTGATATTGTGAGTTTTTATGTATTTTTGCCTTGCCACGAAAAGTGAGAACTGAATTTAATTGAATGAAGAAATAGTGAATCGTCTGTGAAAAACTGTTTCTTTTTTTGTTTGTTTGTTTGCTTTAATTTCTTTTATACATCGTCGCTAGATTTATTATAGTATTTGAATAGAACATGTGGCAACGATTAGATAATTCTTTAAATAATATAAATTTTGTGTATTCTGAGTTATAATATGAACGAAATATAATACTGTTCAGTGAACCTAGCGCCACAGTGTCGCTATGGTAAACAAATAGAGTGAATTTTAAAGAATGCATTTATTCTATTGTGGTTTATGCGTTGTCGGCGAAGTAGATTTAATTCAATCCAATAAGAAAAAAATGCGCATAATTTAATATTCCGTACAAGGAAGTCATGAACACATCAGATTTTTTACTGTATATTAATGCAAAAAGTTCTTTTTACATTAACAGATACATTGTTCTAATTTTCAAATGTTAAAATTTTATCTAAAGAAACAGGAAATTCAATTCCTTCGAAATTTAATTCATTCTCATATTCTTTATACTTTAAAACTTTGTGAAAAAGTTTTACTGGATGACTGTTTACTGGATGAATTGCAGATAAAGTAGACAACATGAAACATTTATTATCCTTATTTTTTACATTTATAATTGCTTTTTTTTTTTTAATTCTTAAGGGAATTCTGTATAACTTGATCCTTTTTAAGGGTCATATTTTTTATTGCCAATACCAACTTTTATTTCAAAATTTTATTTCGTCTAATATTCATTCTGAACCCTTT